TCCAGATGTTGCAGAGAGCATCTTGCGTTTCCCTGATCTAAATCCAACTGAGAACCTTTGGGGATGGATGGCACGGGGAGTCACCAGAAATGGACAATTCCAGACAGTAGATGCCCTTCATTCAGCCATCTTCACCACTTGGAGAAATGTTCCCACTCACCTCATGGAAACGCTTGCATCAAGCATGTCGCAATGAATTCTTGAAGTGATCAACAACAACAACGTTGGAGCGACTCATTAATGAGTTCATGTTTGGATCTTTAATTTCTATTTTGGGGGGATTATGGGATTTTTTTGGAGGTGTGGATTCTTCAAATCCAGTGTACACTGCTCATCTGTGGAAGAGCTGCAGAGAAAGCAGCATGCAGAAACTCACTGCAGTGTGTATAATGATGGAATGTGCAGTGTGTATAATGATGGAATGAGGTTGATGCTCAAGTTGCCGAGGTGGAGCAGTGCAAATGTTTGTTAGTGTTGGAGTGGCTCCCTGTCACGCTGAGGCACAGTTGTATGTGTGGGGTAAAGGACTCCAGAAACCTCTCTGACTGCGCCTGCACTAACCTCAGTTTGGTTTTATTCAAGTTATGGAGCCACTGGCCTCCTAGCCTTTATGTTATTGTGGGATTTGTTTTAAATTTTTCTTCTTTATGTATTTTGCATGTATATATTTTATTTGCTATGGACCTGTGTGTGTCTTTAAAAAGTGAAAGTAAAGTAAACATCCTCAGCAGCATGTGGGGCGGTGCAGCTCTTTCTAATGTAAAGGTCTTAGTGAATAAACACACATTCATAGTTCTTTATGATTCAATGTTCAATGTCAGATTCAATTCATTTCAATGAAAAATGATTTTTGATTCATCGCGTGCTATGATTTAGACAAACCTGAGATGGTTTTAGACAGGTTGGTTTGAATATAAGTGATGTGAGATTTCCAGCAGAGCTGATCAAACAGATTGATTGGACTGGTTTAAGGATCAATGGTCATTGGTGGAGTCAAACCTCTGAGATCACAGTGACTGAACATCATTTGAAAAGGAAACAAAAACCATCAAACC